AGGCTATAATTAGACTCTGTGCAAAATTACAATCCACAGTATCAGTACTCTTCCGGTACAGAATTCACATTCTGAGCATACAGGATTCAGCACAATACTGTCATACAGTCCCAGAACAGATTTGAGACGAAAAGAGTCAGTAGAGGGGGAGATATGAGAAAGTGAAGATAGGAAGAAGATGGCTATGGTTGTCATGCAGTCTGACAAAACTAAATTTGGACTCTGGCAGACAGATAGACCATCAATTCTGACTATACTGACACTAAATACTTCGCTATACAGTGTTCTGTGTGCAACGTACTCACTTTCAGTGTAGTCTTCAAAAGATGATGAAGATTTGGCTATGGTAGACTGACACCCTTTTCTCGACAGTTTCTTCCAGAAATTCCTCCTCTGATCTCCACGTACAGAATCTCTTCAAATTTGTTGATCTTGCTCAGGGTACTGAGGCGCTTCAATCCCACTTACTAGATTCATTGGATCTAGTCCAGTGGCGATCTGACAGTCAACAGGAAATATCTCGCCACTGACCCAGTTAGCCGCTGATGCTATAATTAGCCCCAATTGGGGTCAACTCTGCATGAGATTGACTCTAGCAGTCAATCTAGCTCAGCGCTCCTCAGGGATGATGTTGCCACCCAGTTATCCTCAGTGTTCAGGGGTAATTCGCCACTCTGAGCCAAATCGCTCATCTGCCCTCAGGGTTGACTTTGGCGAAGTAGCCCTGTACTCGCCACTTCTGACAAGCGCTCTAGCTGGGACAGTGCGCTTGGTCAATCCAAACACTGTACACTTGAATTCACCGTCTGCAAATTTTCTTCTCCACTGCTTCAGCCCTGAAGAAGATGAACCGCCATGGAACTCCCTTCAAAAGATCTTCAGAAGAAGAAGATGCCCCTGTTGCGCTCGACCCTCAGTGTCCCTAATCCTACCCAGCTCCGATACCAACTGTTATGAACTTGGTTGTCTGACGATTTTCACCGCCACTCACACACACACAGACAATCTCATACACGCCCGTACATGCATAAGACAATGGGGAGAGGAGACAAAGTCCAAACTGCACACAGATCAAAGTAAGCAGCGAAACACAACCATGCACAAATGGGGTGAGAGACAGTATTTCTCACTCTCTGGCAATGCTCCCAACAACCAATCACAAGAAGACACCTGCGAGGATAACAATAGGAATTACACTGATGATGGGCCAACTCGAACCAATTATCGTTACAGAGTTTGTTTCAGTACCTCGCCACCCTCCAAACTCCACACTCCACGCTCTACCCTACGCCCAGTTAGTAGCACAACATTGAGAAGGCCTCCCAGAGGCCAGCGCCAACCGCCCAGATGAAGAACAGGTCCTGGGATGAAGTCTTCAGTGTTGATGAACAACTCTGACGAGGAAACAGGCAGCTATGGCTGCCGCACCACTGACCCAGCCCTAATATCTCCAGATGCGAGATGGGTGATAATGGTCCACCCACGAGTACCCAGTGAAGAGCCTCAGTCTAGCCCAGCCAGACGCAGATACCCCGAGGGGTAGATGCGCTGTGGATGCCCCGGCTATGGCAACCTCCAGAAGGCTGGCGGCTATGGCTGCCGTCCACGGCCAGGGTCTCAGGATGCCCCCTGTAGACAATCACCTCCACCAAAGTTCCTTGGCCCCGAACGCTGCGTTGCAAAAATGAAAAGCCAAAAGTCCCTAAACTACAGGCTCAGTCCTATTAATAGACTAGCCTACTCTAGACCTAGACCTACTGGACATGTACCGCATCAGTTTGGCCTGCTCGGCCTGGGCCCTACCCGGCTATACGGCGTCTAGACCGTCTCTACAGCCCAAGGCCCAGATGGGCCTGCTATCCTAGTGATAGCCCAGGCCTGCTAAGGGCAGTAACGGCTAAGGGGAACTCGGGCCTGCAATTTTCCTGGAAATTGCAGATATGTCCCTCACGAATTTCCCTCAGGACTGAACTGGCGGTTAGTCCAGACACAAACAAAATTACGAATTTGACCCTAAGACGCGACTATACAACCTCGCAGTCAGATCTTGACAGTAGAAATCAGCAAGGCATTCCACTGAGGTACCCGACTGTGACTTTTCTGAATTTGACGAACTCGGCTTTTCTTGACCAGGGCCTCTGATGCTGAGATCCGAATTTGGGCCTGAATCGTGGAAGGCCTTTCATTCTGGGTTGACTGGCTCAAGGAGGACTTTGCATGCAGGAGATTGGGGTATTCTCAACTTCTCAAGCAAGAAGTAATGCCAAAGAGAGCTTAGCAGTTCGCCCATACTCTGGGACCTAACAATTACCGAGCAGTTTTCACATCCTTCCCCATTGACCATTCAAAACTAGGTGCCCCAAAAATCAACAACCCAGAATGCAACACTGAAATAATGGAAGTCTTCCTCCTATATAAAATACGGACCCTGGAACTCGGACTGAAAATAATCTTCCCAATGGGAACCGTTACACAACCCAATTAAAAGGGCCTTTTACTTGATTCAGACCGTGAATGACGAATGCAGCATAATGGGGTCACTCGGCCAGAACCCAACTCGTGAAAAGCAGATCAACAGGCATGTTCTCTGGGTCAAAAGTCACATCCTAGCTGAAGTAAAAGTCAATGTCAAAGGTCACAGTTGTGCCCCTGGACGAACAGTTGCAATATTCAAATGTGGGAGTCACATCTGTTCATCCAGGGGGTGTGCAGGTCATGTCTGTTCATGCAGGAGATGTGTCTGTTCGATCAGTAGGTGTGCCTGTTCAAAAGAAGTCAAAACGATAAAGTCCCAGTCAAGGTTCAAGTCCAAGAAAGAGTCTAGATACAGACTGAAAGTTCGAAATTAAGGCCTGAAGGCCGCAGCAGCAGTGACCCCTGAGGATAAGGGTCTGGGACACACTCCACAGAGGCTGGGACTGGGAAAGGACCCAAGACAGATTGAATTCAGACCTCGCAAGGGGAGGCCAGCACTATAAAGAGCGAGGCAGCCTCCCCACAGGACAGATTCCCCGTTGGCATTGATGCGTGGAAGTGCTCTGAGGCACTTGTGCGCTATAGTGCAGGGAGGAGCGCTGGCTGAGAGAGAGCTACGCCAGAGGGAAGGAGAGCTGGGCGCTGGCTGCAGGGAAGCCATAGCTGCGTTAGCCTGTGTTAGTAGTAGTAGAAGGGTTAGTAGTAGGATTTCAGTGAGTAGCATTCAAAGTAGATTCTCGTAGATAGGGAGTGTGCATGCATAAAGAGACAAGAGAATCAGGACAGAGTTCTTTGAGAGAAAAGAGAGGGAGAGAGAGAGAAGACAAATTACGAAGTTGGATATGGTGGATCCTTACCTGTTGGCGCCATACTCGTGATCTGAAGAAAGACGCTGGCTGAGCCAGGTCCCATGCTGTTGTTTGACGAGGGAGACTTGTATTGAGTTGGCGCTGAACTCTTGAACTCAAGATACTCTTGTATAATGTGATTTTGATAATATAAGCTGCGCTATCTGGTTCTCATCTCATCTCGACTTGGCTTTGTGTGAAGCTACTAAATCTGTGTGATGAAATTTGTGCATGCGAAATGATACACTCCAGCAAGTGTGAATAGTCAGGTTCCTTGAGCATGACTCGTTGCGCTCGCTGATGCGTTGGCATGAGTAAGGCCGGCGAGGAAGACATGCTGGCTTGAAGATGCTGGCTACAGTGGAGGTGTAAGAAGAGAAGTGGACTGGGATAGGAGAGAGAAGTAGGCTGAAGTGGAAGGGTCTAAGGAGAAGTACTTACCTCGCGTGGAGCTTTGGAGTGCGGAGCGACGAGGAGTCTTCATCAACGACAGCTGCAAAAGAGAGAAGAATCCCTCATCCCGTTACCTGGCTGCATGTGTGTGGGTGTTGTATCTCTACTTCTCCTCTCTGGGGATCGCTGTTGCTGCTGTCAGGTCGAGTCACCTGGTGTACAGCCTGGTTGATTAGGATCGAAGGGTCTGGTCACGGCGGAGTTAAGAGTGGTCAGAGTCCTTGTTTGATTCTATCTTTTCCCTCTGATCTGACATCTGCGTTGTAGTAAAGATAGGAGTACGCTGGGGGGTTGTGGCAGCCTGCCACGTCAGTTTGCAAACAAGGTATAAGGCACAATCAAATTGGGTAGAGATAATCTGTGATCGAAGTGTTGTCCAGGCATCTGACATAGTAAACACTCCAGTTTCCCCCTGCGCATGAGAACAGACAAACAGGGTTAGTAAAAAAAGGAAAAAAGTCATAACCAGTTAGAACAAATCCAGGCAGACTTCTGACTACGATCAAGTGTAGTATCTATTCAAATCAATTTAATATCTGAAGTTGAAGACAGACAACAACTAAAAAAAAAAAGTCCTATTAAATATTAAAGTTTGAAAGTTCTGAAATTCGTTATTGTTGAAGCAACGACATCTAGAGTCTGAAAAAAAAAAAAAAAAAAAGTGTAAAATCATCATCCCATCCACGACAGATTAGACCAAGGTTAATTGGTGGGCGTCTTACCTGGTGGGACCAGCGGAGGGTTACCTATGCTGAGTTCCATCATGGATGACTACCCTATGCAAGGGTTGTTGGCCCTTTTTGTTCTGATGGGCCTTTTGTTCCGAGTTTTCTCTCCCCTGGGCTTCGGGAGAGTATGTACCTCCCGTATGATAACCAGATCAGGTGTTGTGAAGCCTGGGCTATCGGCTGCAGAGCAGGCTGAAGTAGATCGCCGCCTGGCCGAAAAGAAGGAAGAAAAAGGAGAGAGGACAAGACAGAAGGAAGAAGAGATAAAGAAGAAGTGCAAACGGAAGAAGAAAGAATGAAAAGTGCAAACGGAAGAAGAAAGAATGAAGAAAGAAATTAAAAAAAAGTTAGAGAAAGAGTTGAAAGAAGAACTGCAGACCATAGAAGAAGAAGAGACTGACGAGGGAGGTGAAAGATTCATCAGACGGCGGGCAGAAAGGGGAGAGAGTAGTCAAATAGGTGGTGAACTTAATGTCAAACCGTTGGACTGGTACGACCAGTATGCATACTCCAGCGATAGGATTGAGGAAACAAAGGAAGAAAGGTATGTGTTTATTGCGAGACTGGCAACTCTTACAGACCAAAAAGAAAAGGACCTTATGTTTGAGGAAAAACGTGCAGAGCTGCATAGTAAAATGTTAGCAGCAAAGCGGCAAGAACTTGATGAGAGGAAAAGGTTGCAAGCAGAGGGTGCAAGATTGCGAAGAGAGTTGCAAGAGCACAAAGACAAACAGACTGCAACCGTCCTTCATACCAAGCAAGAGGTAGCAGCAATGAACCGAACCTTGCAAAAAGTGGAAACGCACCAATACGAGTTTGAGGGAATCTGGAATACGTTTCTGCAAAAATCCGCCAAAGATGTGGATCTGCATATACAATCGTATATTGAAAAATTAGATAATCACATTACCCAGACCTCTACTCCTGCCGTAATTGATAAGATAGTCCGAGGCAGCGGCGGAGGAGGAGGAGATGGAGATGGAGACGGAGATGGGGGAGATGATAAGAAAGGTAAGGGAGTGTTGCGGGACGATAAAGACACTGATGTAAGAAAAATAAAGGTCAAAGTGTCGTGGACCTACACTGGCAAGAAGGAAAGGAGTGTCCTTCATTGGATTGCTGCCGTAGAATCATACGTTTACGGTCAGCGCATACCTTATTGGGATGAAGTTCTGATGGCCACTTCGTGCATGGTCGGCGATGCGATGAGTTTCGCCATATCGTTGCAAAAGGAAGCTAACTGCGATACCATGATTGCATACTCACAACAAACTAGAATTGAAGTCTTCTTTAAAGCTGTCAGAGAACGATTTGAAGACAAGAATCTGGCTCGCCGGACAGAAATGCTAATTTTAAATATAGCAGATCGAAAATGGAAGAGTGCATATGCACTCAAGGCAACGATAGACGAACTCTTGCAATGGGAGAACATGGGCTAACTCCTACCCAAATCCTCAACAACTTCACAAGGGCACTTCCTGACCCTCTCCGTACTCAGCTTTATCCCCGCACAAAGGAAGAGGGGATGACGTACGAGAAGTTGAGCAAGATCGCTATAGATCATGCTGGCTTCTTGGCTGAAGCTAATTACTGCCATTACTGGAAAGATCTGCAAGCGGGAAAGAAGTGGCAGAACCGCACAATCTTAGGGAACATACCTGGGAAAGACAATCTCCTTCTGACCTTTGAAGAAGGAGGTGTCAAAACTCTCTTCTACGACCAGATAGATTATGGTTTGGAGGGAGGACCCAACAGCACGGTAGTTCAGGAGGGGGACTACGCGGCTGTTGTAGCCCGCGGGGGAGGGCGACAAGGAAGAGGACGTGGCCGAGGAAGAGGAGGCCGCGGACGTAGTGGAAGAGGACCCGGTACCCAGAGGGGTGGTGGCGAAGGTAGCTACTACGTGGGTGGAAGGGGCAATGGTCCCTCGCAAGGTAGCCGTGATTCGTACTCCACCTGGGGAAGAGGAAGAGGCGCATGGTATGGTACGTGGGACAAACCATATCCACCCCATGTAGGTTTGCCCGAAGGGGAGCGTTGGAAGAAATTAGGGATTATAGAGGAAGTTTGGTAGGATAGGAAGGCTGCCGATCAATGCCTCAAGTGTGGTGACCCCAACCACATCGTTCCCTTCTGTCCCGATTATAAACAACCAAAAGGGAACAGCCAGTAGGGTTTTCAGTTGCCTCTACGGGAACTTCGGATGTGAAGAGAAAGACATCCTCCCATCCGAAGGTTCCTCAGGCAGAAACTGAAAAGGAAGACAGTCCCCACCTAGCACACTGTCCAGAGGTATGTTTGTACCTCTATAGGTGGATCCCTCGCTGGCATGGGTGATGAGTTGGCCGCTCGTCGCCAAGCCTGGACTGAGATGAAAAAACGTAAAGGACAGTTAATAATTGCAGATCTAGAAGTAAACAAAGTTAGAGTTGGAGGAATGATAGATAGTGGATCAACTCGCAGCCTAGGTTGTTGGATCGGACGTCCGTGACCCCCCTGACCGTCCGGGATGTCCGACCGGATAGGGTATGTCCGACCTAGCGGAAAAAAAAAAAAAAATAATAATAATAATCTCAGAAAAATCTGAAAAAAATTATATGTTATGTAACATAGTAATACAAGCAACTTTTGCCTTGGAGTCATGTTCAAATTCGCATCCAATCATGAGTTAAAAATCAAAAACCGAATTTTTTTTTATTTTTTATTTTTTTCGAAAAAAAAATTGTCTTTCTGGACGACGGGGGTACCGGACGTATGGGGAGACGTCTGGGGGAGACGACCGGCCCCCGGACCATTGGTAACCTTAGAGTCGCAGCTATATAAGTTAGAAAGGGTTGAAGAAGCTGCGACTCGAGCTAAAGGTTAAACAACTAGATGAGCCCGTAATGAGTAAACTAGCTAATAGTACTATAACTGTAATGGATAAATATGTTGAAGGGGTCAAGATATTCTGCCGGCTCGAAGCAAAGGGGAAGGTGGAACACGTTCTCCACTCTTTGACTCTCTTGGTGGAAGATAATCTCCCTTTTGACATCCTTTTAGGCATGGATTGGGGTGAAGCTGCAGATGCGGACATAAAGTTAAGGGACCATGAGTGTTGGCTTCCAAGTCCGCAAGGTGGGAAAAAGAAAATCCGCTTGTTTTATGAATCAGGGAAAGAAAGCAGCTTGGCTCATTGTTGTATGAGTGCCCCCGCGTTCGCCCGCTAAGGAAATATAATCTATATGATCAAGTGTTTGTTGCATATGTGCACCCAATTAAAGAGAGTGAAGTTAAGGACGAGGCTAAGCCCCTAGGAGTTAAAAGGATTCTATGTAGTTGAGCGACCTATTAAACATCGCATTGAGATCATCCTAGGAAGTCAGATTCCTAAAGGGCCTATCTATAGAATATCACCGAAAGAGTTGGATGAACTGCGAACCCATCTTGATGAATTGCTGGAGAAGGGGTGGATAAGACCTAGCTCCTCGCCCTATGGTGCGCCAGTGCTTTTTGTGCCAAAGAAAGATGCCGGGGTACGCATGTGCATAGATTATAGAAGACTTAATGAAATCACAGTAAAGAATGTTGAGCCATTACCAAGGATTGATAATCTTTTGGATAGAGTTCAGGGTTGCAAATATTTCATCAAGATTGATCTGAAGTCTGGCTACCATCAGATTGAGGTAGAGCCAGAAGACCAATATAAGATAGACTTCAGAACAAGGTACGGGCACTATGAGTTCGTTGTGTTGCCCTTTGGTCTTACTAACGCACCTGCAACCTTCCAAAGAACAATGAATGAGCTTTTTCGTGAATGGCTTGACAAATTTGTTGTTGTTTATCTTAATGATATTTTGATTTTTAGCAAGAATTTAAATGAACATTGCGAGCACCTTCGACTTGTGCTAAATAAATTGTGTGAGGCAAAATTGAAGTTGAACCCAAAGAAGTGTGATTGGGCTAAGCGTCAGGTTTTGTATTTGGGGCATGTGCTCGATGGTGATGGTATCAAACCGGAAGATACAAAAATTGCAGCAATACACGATTGGCCTAACCCCCGCACTTTGACGGAGTTGCGGTCGTTCCTTGGGCTAGCCAACTATTATCGGAAGTTCGTTAGACACTTCACAATAATCGTTGCGCCCCCTCGGAGATTGCTCAAGAAACAATCTGGAAGTGGGATTCAGATTGTACGGCTTCGTTTAAACGCTTAAAGAAATGTCTGATTAACTATGCGGTATTGAAGGTTGCTGATCCCTCTTTGCCCTTTGTCGTCACAACCGACGCCAGTCAATACGGGATAGGCGTTGTATTCCAACAAGATGATGGAAATAGTTACAGGCCTGTTGAGTTTATCTCCCGACGATTGCCTAATGAGAAGGTTGCCACTTCTACGTATGAAAGAGAGTTGTTTGCTCTCCGGGAAGCTCTAGATCATTGGTGACACTATTTCTTAGGACGCTACTTCAAAGTGTACTCGGATCACGAGACACTTCGCTGGCTTAAAACGCAGCCCCGGATGACACCTAAGTTGACTAGGTGGGCCGCCGAGATTGATCAATATGATTTCGAGCTAAAGCCAGTTAAGGGTAAGTATAACGTTGTTGCTGATGCGCTAAGTCGAATATCTGATTTCTTCGGTGCCATTGTGACATATCTAGATGTAGGCACCAATCTGCAGGAGAAAATTAAAAGTGCGTATTCCACAGATCCAGTTCATGGCGCGATGATTAAGAGTATACAAGAAACGCCTCAAGAGTTTCCTAACTATCATATTACACAGGGATTGCTATTTGGAAAAACGGATATGCATGATAGGCTTTGTCTTCCAAATGTGAAAGAGATCAAAAGTCTGATCTTGGGGGAATATCATGACACCAAAGGCCATTTTGGGTGGAAAAGACTTACGCAAATCTTTTGCGTTCCTACACTTGGCCTCGCATGAAACCCGATTGCATTGCGTATGTACAAGGTTGTCAAGTGTGCCAACGAAATAAGAGCACGACTCAACCTCCCCTTGGTCTACCGAAGCCTTTATCAATCCCAACAGGTCCAGAAAACTCTGTGTCCATTGACTTTGTGGACACCAAGGTAAAAAGCAGGAATGGAAAGACGCAAGTCATGGTCATTGTTGATAGGTTTAGTAAGTATGCTGTATTCATAGCATTACCAGTGGAAGCGAAGACAAAATATGTAATCCGGGAATTCTTTAACCACTGGGTAAAGGATTATGGACATCCCTTAACGATTGTAAGGGACAGAGATTCACGGTTCACGAGTGAACAGTGGCAACAACTAATGAATGTCTATGGCTCAAAGTTGACTATGTCGTCAGGTAGACACCCTAAGACAAACGGCCAGACTGAACAAATGAACAAGATTTTGCAGCAAACGTTGCGTATGTATATACGTCCCGACCAGATTGATTGGGACGAACATTTGCCCAAAATTGCTAGTGCCTATAACAACTTTGTTCACCTATCTACATGCAAAACTCCGATGGAGCTGCATTTGGGATGGCGACCACGTAGACCTGTTGATCGCCTGAATCCGGACCAAGTACATAAGCTGCTACCAGCCTACAAAGGACCTTGGGAAGTTTCAGATGTGATTGGAGATGTGGATGGACCTTCTTATGTGATTGAAATTCCTTTGCATTTGCATACATATCCAGTTTTTCACGCTTCAAAACTCTTACCTTGCGTGACGAACGAGTTATTTCCCAATCGCAAATCAGCGATACCTCCCTAGTATGGATGGGAAATATGATGTGGATAAGATTGTTGCTGAAAGCACTCTTCAAACTGGACGTAGAGGCAGACTGTGGCATACTGCGTAGCCACACGGGCCCTGCAGGCCGTCTTGGACATTCAGCCTAAAAGCCTACAACTTAGGGCTTACATGCCCCGTTCGTTTCAGCCTGGATGCTGAAAAACGAGGGCCTGCAGGCCCTACCTCGTTTCAGCCTATTTCTGGGTCTTTTCAGATCCAGAGTTTTCAGCCTGAAACGGAGGGCCATTTTCAGGCCCTCATTGTTTCGACCTGCCCCAAAGAATCAGGCACGGAAACAGGGATGCGGAACAAGCCCAAAATAGCCTGTTCGTCACGTGCTCGAGCAGGAGCTGCAGCTGCAGCCCCTGCCTCCCTTCGGCAGGCTCAAGAGGCACACCCGTAGTACATAGGAGGTTCCCATGCACTTCACGGGTAGGTAGTGTCAGTAGGCAGTGGTAGTCTTCAGGATTTCGGCCGCAACACTCAGGAGGAGCGCTGCAGTAGTCTTCAGCGCTAGGCAGTAGGTATTAGCACTAGCTGTAGTCTTCGGCGTTGGGCGCCATAGCTGTAGGTGTAGTCTTCAGCGTTGGGCGCTGGTAGGTGGTAGATCGTAGAGTGGGAGAGACACTGGCGGAGGCGAGTGTTACTTACCTGTGGCGCCATCGCTCCAGCTCCATCTTCGCGGTACCTGCATCAAGGCGCCAACTTCACAGGTTAGTACTGGACAGAAAGAGAGAGAGTTCTTCTTCTTCCTCTTCTAAGTCCACCTTCTCTTCTCACCCTCTTGCCACCTGACTTCTCAGACTACGACAGAGAGAGAGACAGAGTTGTGACTTGAGACTTGACGACATTGGATCCAGACTTGACATTTGGGATTCAGACAGTTCGACGAGGGACTATTTGGGCTTGTGCTGAAGACTTGGTGTTGACGACATTCCCATCTTCCCCCTCCTCTTCGTCTATCCCCTTCCTCCTCGTCTGTGCATGTTCTGGGCTGGCGTTGTCTTCCTGTGTGAAGCGCCAGACCCGTTCACACTATGAAACAATGATGATGATGTATGTTCAGGGCTGCATTACAACATTGATTGTTCGGATCACTGGTATCTAAGTCTTCCGCTGTGTTATCTTGTACTTTGTATTGAAAGGTCGGTT